TATATATATATATATATATATATATTAAGGTGTATATAGAACTGCATAGCTATATTGAAAGTGTATATAGGACTGTACAACTTGATGATCAAGTAGTCACGATTAAGTGCACTGGCGATATGAACTGTGGTTCTGCATTACAATATTGGGTTGATTAATTTTGTCTTGAGTGGATCAATTTTGGCGGCTTATCAACGTTGTACCGCATTCCACCTTCCAGCTGTGAAGTATACAGTTAGCGCCTGATGTTCACCATGGGCCAAGCAGTTCAAATGTATTGGAAGGCCATTGGTAGTACGTGTTTTATTTAATATCATTCACTGTCATATCTGTCGCCTCACCAACTCTGATCAACTCGAACATTACAGATCTCAAACACTGCAGGAAAGTGCTGCTACCATCCAAAGAAGACATCGCACATTCTAAGCCGAGCCTCGGAGACTTGATGACCAGTATGAGTCTGAAGAAGAGGACTTCAGTAAAATAATCAAGAGACACCTAGGGTGAACGGCACAAATGATACCCATATCCCGTAAATATTTAGTACAATATTAGGCGATTGACATATGTAGGTGAGAATACCGCGAGGTACAAGTGCGCTGGGTCTAAGGCATTGGGTATGCAACAGTCCATAACACGGCGGTTCACCAGACACCCATTTCACGGGCTTTTTCTTACACCTAAAGAGGTCTCGAGGCGGTTGATTCGATCAGTGCAGCGTGCCGCGGGCGAAATCGGGCGACTCTGCTACCGTGGTATAGCGGGCAGAGGTGAAATGAGTGCTATTATCCTGGAAATGGATGAACTAACTAAGGTTATTAGTAATGTAAGAAATAAATATTAGAGATCAAACTCATTTTGGTCCTCATTGTCCTCTCATATGACCGATCGATTCACTTCGGTCAACTTTTGAGTACTTGCCTAAGTCTACAGTTCATAACGTCTGTTGGCAGAATATCCATGAGGTTCTCAGGAAGGGGCCAAAATATCGTATGGGATTCCAACAATATATATTGATTTAGTCTGGCTTGGATCGGATCTCACGACAAATCCCTACTCTCCGTTTTGGTATGCACGCAAATACGCCATGTTGCATGCCTGGTCTATGATGCTGAATCGATTCAAAACTCACTAAGCATCGAGAACACCTCTACGTCACAAAGAGAACGAAAACTAGGCGCTACATGTTGTCTTTATATAGATATCTATGACCCTGCTTACGCTCTTGATAGGGGTCTTTGTTATTAAGCTATTTTATTTGCCGTGACCTGCTTTGCACCCAGTACCGAGCAGTCGATGACTTGAGTGTGTTGGTGCACAAACAGTTTACTATAAAATCCGATCTACCATATTAAATTATATTCCTCAAACGACTAGGTTTACGATGGCGCATTAGTTAGAGCTATCCAGGTGGGCAAGGCGGCCTTCGCGCAAGTCGAGGTTGTTTATCCATGAGATGTCGCCTTTCTTGAACTTGGCATCCTTCTCCCTCATCACCTCACACACTTTCCCGATTTCCTGGGCCGTGTATTTGTCGGCATATTTGCGCAGTACATCCAGCATCTATAGAGGGGATGAGTGTGGGAAGTGGGAAGCATGCAGGCGTCAGTAAAGACCCAATAGTTTTATTCGAAGCGTGCGGTCAAGTCTCAAAGGCACAGTTAAATTCCACGCCGTTGTAGTACTACGAGATCTAATGGTTCGAACCGAATGAGTTCTGGTGATGTATACAACCTAAGACGAAATGCTCGTTGATTTTACTGGAATGCTGCTAACTCACCTCAAGTTTGGTTGCTCCAAAATCGGCAGAATAAACCTCGAATACTTTGGGGAGTGTGACTGTATTCCTTTTTGTGTCCACCTGAAGCAAAAGAAAACTTGGTCAGTACAACGAACAGAAAGCGTTCCTTGAGCTATATAAGATTTCGTTGATAACAGAGACCCCTTGTGCTTTTATGGGGCACCCAATTAACCCCAGCATCATATACAAATATCCTCGTGTATTTGCAAATGTGTGTGAATGAATTTATCAGACGCCAAAGGCAGGACAGGATAGTCACGGTTTGTACGGGAATATAAATTATGAATAGCAACATTCCATTTAACAACTCATACAGGGCACCTCACGAACGCAATGGCAACAACTAATGAAGTGCTTGAATCGCATCTTCTATGTCAAGGGTGCAGTATCCACATACATACCATTACATTACGCTGGATGAAGATACGGGCCGCGGAGTTTAGTTGGCTGTCTAGTACATCTGGGTCGTCGGAGTATATGAATACCTGCCAAGAGAAGAGGCGCGAGTTCGAATACGCAGTTGAGGACATGTATTTTGTAGGAACTAAACGTGCAGGGAACACAAAGTCCGCTGTTATACGCCGGGGTTGTCAAACTGATCACTGTGTGGTATGTGTCCCCCGTGTGCATAGCATCCAACAACGCCCAATTCTTGCTACAAGGGTGTGGGCAATCTTTGGTCTTCAGGGGGTTGTCCTTGGTGGTGAGGTTTTAGGGTTTTAGGGGTTTCAGGGTCATCAACCCTAAAAGAGAGGGGGAGGCGATGGGACCCAAAAGGTCACGAGGATGTATGCACCGCAAACTGGTACAATGAAACGGTGCTTTCGGTGTATTCGAAACCCCTGAGCTCAAAATCCTTCGCTCTAGTCGCACAATACACACGTCCATACAATACCACACACACCCGCACATGCGATCAATCCTTGTCCCGTGAACAACGGACCACCCCGCGATCGCCCAGAAGTACATACCACCATATGAGTCGCAACAGGTGCATTCTGATAAGTTTAGTCAATTCATATGCTCGCAGTAATACTCACCGACTGGCCACATGTTTTGGTGCCATAGTTGACAGCCATGGCTAATCTCGGATCCACCTGCTGCGCCCCTAGTATCTGTCTCAGCTCGTTTGATATCGCCTTTTGCGGATTGTATCGCATGGACTTCTTTGGGGGTGTCATTGCCGCACGCAGGATGCCGTTCTCAATCTCTGATAGTGAGAAGACATTTTTCCCCACCTAGAAAGGTTTGTTAGGGTTTGGGTTTGGGTTCTTAGGGTTGCTAACCCTGTACTTTCGGGAAAAATCGATTGAATGATAGTGCTACGGCGGTATATGGATGTGCTATAGGATCAAGCTCGAGTCTATTCCCTACCCGGAAGAACGGAGACGCGGAGGCATTGCGGGCGTCATGATGATGGATGCATGTACTGTAAAACTAAGGCTTAAGCTTTGCAGTATTATATGCGCTTCACTTCACTCCGGAAAATTCACGAACCAATTTTAAGCGCAGATGGTTGATTTCTTACGTGCTATGTACTGGAAGACTAACTCATGTGCGCCTGATTTCCTACTCCAGCGAGAGCAAATATCAGCATGGGTCACCTACATAGACTGCCAGATACATACATACGTTGCACATATACCCATTAAATATACATATGTTACACATATACCTACTACATATATATACGCTACACATACACCTGCGTACAAGCACACGCACGGAACCACTCGCCTACCTGCATACTACACTCGTCGTAGAACTCGGATATACCGCGCCGGGTAGAGGATGGCGTCCCCATGACCAGCAGATAGTGCGCAACGATACAATGATACAGATTTAGAAAAAACGCCTTGCGTTCCGAGGGATCCATCACTGCCAGTTGCTGTAAAGAGATACGCTTCAGCGCAGACACACAGTCCAGGTACGACACAATCATGCTCTTGGAGGAGTTCTGGTTCAACCCAAGCACGAGCAGCAAGGCGGCAGAGATGAGCGCGCACGGGTGAGTGAGTGGTTGGAGAAGCTCGAAGTAGATCAAGCGATTGTTGAGGATGATACGGTTCGACTTCCAGCGAGACCTGTACAGACGGGGAAGAAGGACGGATGCAAATCATGTTTAGTGTTGTGTGTATACAACTAAGACAGGTTGGATGCTCGGTGTGCTGTGCTGAGACAAAGGATGTGTTGTGTGGGTGTCACCAAAGCGATAGGTGTCTTTTGTGTGTATATCCCGATGTTCGCCTGTTGCCGAGGCCAACTGAGACTATGCCCGACTTCGGGTAGGGCGTAGACATGTATGGTGCACGATTGTTCGTATAATAGTAACCCAAGCACTCGATATTTGAATTGCAAAACATCTGTAACCATTTTAGAATCGGCTCCTTTATAAAAAAAGTGTCCTTGTTGAAGTAGGGTCAGTTATGTTCCGCCTGATCCGGCAGACAGCGGATGTTTATACACGAGAGGACATTTATAGGTTACTCTATGGCTATCTGCGCTTGTGAGTAATGAAGATGTGCCCCACAGACACAGACACGAAGGGGTACTATTATTGAGCCCACTTTGAAGTCGCGTCCGATCGGACGTGGACGTGATAAATTATCACAGAACCTCTAATCCATACGATTTGGGTGCCGATTGCTTTTTCTGATTTTGATACCCGCACAACTTTTCACATACTCAGCATTCCATGTCCGCATTTGTTGATATTTTCAAGACAGCATTCAGACTTAACACCCATATCAGATAAACACAGCATAGGCAACACCCCCAATACATTTTGAATTTGCACATCTGATTCTTGTCATATATATAAATACAAGAACTTTTTTCTTTGGTCAAAAGAAATACATATCCACAGGGTTCTCTGACTCCACAATCATGTTCAACAAACATTCATCTGTAGACTCCAGCAGCAGCGCAACCATGCAAACCCTTCGTAAAGAAAGACACTGGCGAAATAATACACAACCGTAGCACTTTGCCCCCAACATACTTAGTTAGAACGAGGAACATACCGGGTTCTCCGGTTCCATAACCATGCTGGACAGATACTCGCCTTTACACTCCAAGAGCCAGCACAACATGCCAAAACGCTAACACCCGAACACTACCTAAAATAGAACCAAGCAATAGAACACACAGACGTAGTACTGTAGCCGCAACATACTTAGATCGAACGAGGTACATATCCGCAGGGTTCTCTGGTTCCAAAAACGTGCTCGACAGGTTCTCATCCACGGACTCCAATGGGGCCGTCGCGACACTACTCGATCGCTGATTCCTACCTACCATCGCCGGAGCTATATTCGACACCACAACTGTCTGACTATCGTCTAAGTGCGCGCTAGCCGTAGACAGTTTGTGCGAGTGAACCTTGGTCGTACACTTCTGCCTTGCTGCGTTGGGAGAGTCAATGGGCTCGGGTGTGCGTGGTAAGGGATGCAGCGATACTTCGAGCGTGTCGTCGGTCGGGGCTCCGGTGATGGGTATGGCCGCGGATGAGCCTGAGGTGAATGGAGGAAATAAATTGAGTTCGCGAGTGGTGGATATGTATGTAGTGGCTGGTGTATAAGTACATAAGAGTGTATGTAAATGGGGATGTAGATACATGTGTATACGCTTATATATATACACCTATGTGATACATCCTGTGGGTGAGATGAGATGACTAGTAACGGGTAAGTTGGTACGCCCGAGTGTGTCGTCGATCAATGCGCTTGCTATGCATATATGGCCGAAGCGGTGTGTGGGGTTGAATGGTAGGGGTCGTGCAGCCCGAGGCGGAATGAAACTATAGCAATGACTGTTTGTTGCCACATTGATATATGACACTGTTACATGGTAGAGGAAAGAACAAGAGGTCCTTGAAAAATACGGGGTAATAAGCCATCACACTTGACTAAATCTTACGTATCACGCATCTCTATATATAATTTCACTCGTAACTTATTCCCGCAACGGTCATAAATAGGCAGGCAATCACCAGCCAGCCTTTGTATTTGCATTGCCAAGCAGGTCCGCCGCAATGTTCTCAGCATGGCCTTACCTCTAGTACGAACTATGTACATAACATCCACAAAGCATATAACTAATATACATACATACATACTTACATACATACATTCATACATACATACATACATATTAGATATATATATATACATATACATATAAAAATACATACATACATATATATATATATATACATATACACATATATATAATATATATAATACATACATACACACACACACATATATATATATATATATGTAATACATACATACATATATATATATATATATATACATACATATATATATATATATATATATATATAAAATGCATGAAGTAGTAGTCTGCACCTACCTTCGAACTCAGACATACTGCCATTCAGTGATGGTGGTTCTGAGGGTTCCGGTGTGGCGTTATTGGAGAGAATAGGTGTCGTGTTGTGCATGCTGGCCTCCGAGTTGTACGTCATAAGACTGTCACTGATTTTGCCCAGTTTGTCGAGGTCGCCGGTGGATCCCTTATCTCTGCCTCTCCCTGTGCAGAATGAATACGACATGATAGATATAAATGCAATCTTCAATGCATGCAGTGCCCCAAATTGTACCCATTTTTTTTCTCGCCAACCCGAATTAATTATCTTAAAATACTACCAGCATATACTCTCAATTCCGAATATTCGCTCGAGCCCAACTACCGATCTATAACCGCTCACCTGCCACGTGTTTTATGGTTTTTAACAACTAGTCATGTATACTCGAAATATATGTCTGCCTGTTCTTAATTCGCGCTTGTAAGATACTACTCCAAAGCCATCCCAATACCTACCAGAATCCATTTTCCAAACTGATACTTCCATACACTCGCCACATTCACTTCCAAGACACGCGAATACACACAGATGCTACTTTCAATACACCCACCTGCCACGTGCTTGATAGGCTTTAGCACCTTATCATGTGCACTCGAGGATATGCGCTTGGCCTTGTTCTTGATCCGTGCTCGGGAGCCCTGATGGGCGTGGCCCAAGGTGTGTGTCTTTTGGAGCCCGCCAAAATTAGCGCGCGCGCTGGCGGAGAGAGACGCAATCATGGACTGATCGTCCTTCAGCTGTATGCTTCCTTGCGAGAAACTCGCCGCCAAAACGGCACTGGTTTGGGCCTGGAAGGTATTGAGGAGAATATCAGAGTGTTAGTGGGAGTTTTATATATATTGGGTTTTTATATTGCGAGAAGAATGCTGTCAAAATCGCACTGAATTGGGCAAAATATAAGGGTGGTAGTGAGTGTTGAATTTATCAGATTTTATTATTGCCAGAAAAGAATAGTATTTGGGCCTTGCAAGGTATCGAAGAGGACCATTGGGCTTGTTTCTAACCCCTCCTTCTCATGCAAATAAGTGCCGCTCAACCCGCATTTATTTATGCCTACGATATCCAGAGCTTGCAATTCCAGGAATAGACGTAGGTGCTACAATGCTTTGCAATCTGTAAGTCACACACAAGGACTTGCAAATAGCCACACATAACACCAGCAAATCCTTTGCATATATAAAATAGCCTAGAGTGTGCCTCTCCAAGAATAGCCTTACAAAGTGGCTACATACACACACAGTATAGAAACACACACATATGCTCTCTCCAATAGATAGTACGGAACAGCAACAGCCACCAACGTACACAGGAATTTAGGTAGATATAGTAAGAAAATCTATGCAAAGAAACAGTATCACAACAGATAAACACAGCCACACACAGACAAATCCAACGCCTACCTGGATTTTATTCATCCACTGGTCTCTAATGGCAGCAGTCGAGTATGCGATGTAGTACACGATACCTAGTGTGTGCACTTCAAGGAAGGCCCCCTCAAAGGGGTTGGTATCGCATGGATGGCACAACAGAATCTCCGATAAGGGGATGGTGCAGTCGGCGTTGCGCTTACCAGAGTGGTAGAAACTGCAGGAAAGTATGGTCACAAGGCACAGGGTTTATGCATATAAGGACGATGGTAGAAACTGGTGTGATCGTTATTTTGTGCAGTACATCCTATTGAAAATTGGGGTATTTTCGATAATATATAATGTTCCATAATGGTAAGGCTTTATGCACTCTAAGTCAGATTTTTTATGCTCAAAAGGATGAGGATGTGATGATAAGGATGTACGTAGTCGTACACTAATGATACCTGAATAAGTAATCCAGGTGATGTTAATTAATTAAATGATTGATACGCCAACCAGACCATACCACAAATATATATATATATATATATATATATATATATACTATACATATATATATATATATATATATATATATACTACTACTACACACACACACACTATATATATATATATATA